TCACCTGACAGCACAAGCTACAGAATGGCTAATACAGGAAATATGGGATCAAATTGCCTACATAGCTCTTTATTTTTTATTTTTATTTTTTTTTAAATTTTATTTTATTTTGTCAATGTACAATGTGGTTGATTACTATGGTCCATTACTGAAACCTCCCTCCCACCTCCATCTCCCCTCTCCGTCCCAACAATCTCCTTTCTTTTTTTTTTTTTTTTTTTTTTTTTTTTAAATTTTTTTCTTCTAAAAGATGACTGGTAAGGGGATCTTAACCCTTGACTTGGCCCTGTCAGCACCACGCTCACCCAGTGAGCTAACTGGCCATCCCTATATGGGATCCGAACCCATGGCCTTGTTGTTATCAGCACCACACTCTCCCGAGTGAGCCACGGGCCGGCCTCCAACAATCTCCTTTCTGTTTGCTTGTTATATCAACTTCAAGGAATTGTGATTGTTGTGTCTTCTTCCCCACCCCCCAGTTTATTTGTGTATTTATTTATTTATTTTTAGCTACCACAAATAAGTGAGAACATATCTCTTTATTAATAGATTCCAGATATATCCAGCACTTTATCTCAAATGTAGATTAATTATCTGAATAATAAAAACATGATTTTCTGGTCCGGTACGGGGGCGACACTGAGGGTTGCGATCCGTTGCCGGACACGGAAAAAGACAAAAAATAAAAAAATAAAAAATAAATAAATAAAAATAAAAATAAAAACATGATTTTATCTGTGTTATGAGTGAATACATATATACATAAATACATTATGTATACATACATATAATTTGTATAGTTAAATGCTGGGGTCTTCTTATTTTTCTATAGCCCTTAATGCAATACCACAAGCATAAAAAACAGAGTGATGGCTGCTTAATGATGATAAAATGCTATCTTGGAGGAGGTTGTTTGTTGATGAGTGAGGAAAATTAAAATATCCTCATATTAAATTGTTTTTCTTTTGGAAAGACTGTGCTGCAAGAAAGGCAATCAAACTTTTTGTTCTCTATCTTATATACATCTTGAAAAAAAAATTTTTTTTCTTGTGTATTCCACACTTCCTAATCTCATAAGACAGAGCTAATGAAATAGAATCTTTGAGCAAATTTAGATTGATTCCCCATGGGAGTAAATATTATCTCAGTGTGAAACAGTAAAATAAATTGCTTATTATATTGATGATATTTGGAGAAATATCAAACCATTACCTTTGGGCCACATGGCTTTCCAAAAAAGTCACATTTCAACAAAGTGCTATCGTGGAGATAAAACCCATTGTTCCTGACAAACTCTGTAATGCTGAAGTTTGGGTGACTTGCAACAAAATCAATAACTTCTTTAGAGCCTGTAAAATTGTCACTGATTTCCTGATGCTGGAGGACTTTGAATACAATATGCCATAAGAAAAAAAATGACACCAAATTTGGCTACAGCATCTGTTTGGAACCTATTAGTAGGAATAAAGGCAATAGTCAGAATAAAATAACTTGTAATTACAGCAGAGACCAAAATTTGGACTCATCAGTTTCTCCTTCTTTTCTCTTATACTCTCCCTCATTTGCAACACATTCACGCAAAATTTGATTCCTAGGAGGTTTTTGACACATCATACAATTTATCTTTTATTTGTACCTGGAATAACTTCCAGACTCTGATCTGGATTAATCCTAATAAATCTTCAAGACCTAATTCTTCCTTCCGTCAAAAGAAGAGGTGGTAATATGTAGTGACTAAGAACTACACTTGGGAGCCAGATTTCCTGGGTTCGAATCCCAGCTCTGCTATTACCATGGCTTTGTTCTGTGTCCACTTAGCGAAGCTGAAACTGTATTTCCCAACATTCTCTTTCTTGTATGTATCTGGTTACACTCTTAAGTTCATCATAAGGCAGGAGCCACAAAACATTACAATTGATCTGCCAACTGTACTTGTTGGTTTGGGCACAGCAGGAGGACTGTAACTCTTCCAGCTCCTGTCCAATCTCTTCCATCAACTTTGAATATTGGGTCAGGTGACAGTGCCAACTGGTGACAATGCCAGCCTGACCTTCAGGTCACCCCTACCAAGATAGGAGGAAGTGAAAAAGAGACACCATTTGCAGCTTCTGTTTGTTGTCCCCACTTCACATCCATGTTCCTTTCTGACTGCAGGCCAGCACCAGAAACAGAGGCAACAGAATTACAAAGACTGCTTACCCAGCCCCTATGATTGAGCAGAGCTTATAATAAATCTCTATTCTATTTCACTCATAGCAGTACTGTTTCTCCAATCAATCCCTGATTGTTACAGCCACTGAAAAATATGACAGCAGATTTCTTCATCTTCCTGTGTTTAGTTTCCTCACTTGTAAAATTGCTGTATGTTAATATAACCTACTTCAAAATATTATTTTGACAGTTGAGTTAGTTATTTTTCTGAAAACATTTACAAGGATGCCTGGAATATAGGGAGTGTTAAGTAAGTATTATATTAAATAAGTGCCTTATTATTGTCAAAGTATTTTCTTGGTAATCAAAGCAGAAGTAATCTATTTAACCTAACTACTATATTACTTTGAAAATTATCTTATTTTGCTGAGAAATTTCTGCATTGTATTATGTGTGGTTCTTTACTTGCATGGTTGACATTCCTTTCAAAATGTGATTGGTACTTTTGTATTTTGGATCTCATAAATCTTGAAACTAAACAAACCTTCTCTTTTCAAATTGACTGCTAGATAGAATGGAGTGTGTGGTCAACTCTTGATAAGTATACAGGGTCATGCAGTATGTGGTTTGTGTGTCCTTCCTGGAGCTCCTTTATATCCCAGACAACATTTTGACTTTCCTTTATATTGCTTTTAATATAAATATAACTTTTCTTTGTAATAAAAGTAATAGTAAATCCTTTCCCAGTCAAGGTAGGGCATAAGAAAAACAAAAAATTAAAATAAAATCCCAAACCAACATTATATATTCCTTGAGATGAGAAACTGTTTTCATGATCAGCATTTAATATAATACCTTACTTTACCAGCTCTGAGCCTTACAAAGCCAGCCCAGGTCCGAAAACTGTGTAAATATCCTCCTTTGATGTCCACATTCTGAGATACTATTAAATTAGGTGGCATTTTACCTACCTACAGTGTAAATAACCTTGCTTTTTTTGGTCAAAAGTATTTTTGGTGATCTTTTGAGGAGTTAACAGTTTACCTTAGCAGCAGATCTGTTAACCCTATGTTGAAACATGGACTTTAAGCTACATCTAACTCTGACTGACTGACAGGATACCAAGGCTGTGCTCCAAGGCTCTGCCACTTCAGAATCTTGCACAAGGTGAGAGTCAGCCCTACCTCACACAGTGTTCACCAGATTATTTTCAAAACATTTATGCCCAGAACTGAAGAAATTAGCACACCTGTTGTTGGGGCATTGAGGCCACACACCTCCTCCCGGGGCAGAGAACTAGCCATGACCCCACCCACATACGCGTATGTAATCTGTTGAAAACATTCGCCTGGACAGGAGAAATAAAGATGGCCCTGACGGAAGCTGCCGGGGAGTAGCCAAGGAAAGACATAGTTTAAAATTATTGGATAAAAGATATTTCCATGCTCGTGCTCACCGCATGATTGCAATAGCAAAGCATTAGAGCAAGATGCATGTTCACATGACCTTTAAGATGATAGGTTGAAGTTAGGAAATCCCCTTGCCATATGCTTATAAAAGCAGGTGCTTGTGTGGAAATAAACGGAACTGCTTGAGGGAACCCCTGCTGCATCTGAGTGTCTCTCTGTGGGCTGAATAATATACTCACCTTCCTCCCGGGCTCTCCTGGCCACTAGGGTGGCAGGAGTAATCCTACCGGTTCCCTCTCTTGCTCATCCCGTGGCTGGGGGCTAAAAGGGGCTACTGGAAGGTTTAGGGCTGCCGCCCCTGAGCCCCTGCAACTTGTGGGAGGTATAAATACAATAGATAAGAAAGTTAAAAGGGAGAGCACCTTAATTTTATTCTTTTGAAATGCTTTTTATTATGTTAATAATAATTGAGACCATCAGGGTAATTTATGTAGTTGAATTAAATTTAATGAATAAAGTCTAACAATATTAGGAATAAGGATGTGAAATTTTTGTGAGCTAGACTATTCACCATAAAACCAAAGTGTTTTGCAGTTTGTTTTCAACTTTAATTTGAACTTCAGAACCGTTCCAAGTTATCCTTTAAGAAATCTTGCTTAGCGTTTGCCTTATTCTTCTATTTAACATTTTCTATAAGAGCCTAGTATGAAATAATGATAATAGAAGTATATCGATTTGTTTAAACAATTTACCAACTGATAACTAATTACTAAATCTCCCCTTTTTTTGGTATATTAGTGGCTCTAAATGCATTTTCTGAAATTATATGACCCAAATTAGTAAGTTTCATTTGAAGTCCAAGTTGATGCCAGAATTAGCCCTTCACTGAGTCCTGTCAAAACAGATTCAAGTATACCATGCTTTAATAGGAAAATGGGGAAAAGTTCTGCTCTTTGGATTCTCTATTGAGCCAGTTTTAACTTCTTACCATTCTCTTTCTTTTTTTTTTTTTGTATTTTATTTATTTGTTTTTTATTTTAATTTATCAATAGACAATGTAATTGATTTTTGTGTCCCTTTACCAATTCCTCTTCCCCCCAATCAACATCATTAATTAATAAAACCTTTGGCATATATTTACTTTTTTATGAGTTATAATTTTATTTTGTATTAAAAATGCATTAACACTTTTTTGCATTTAAACAAATTTGGAATAAACAAAGAAGCACAGTGATTATAAAAATAAAGAAGCAGAACTTGAGTTACTCATTCTAAAACAATGCATTAAATAATACCAGTACTCACTACATTCATCTCTGATTTCAGTAGAAGAAAACAAATTTCAGAAATTTTTACCAAATATAATGAAAATTTATGATCAACTTCATGGTGAAGATATTTTTAGTGGAAATTTTTGACAGAGATATTTAAAAGCCACTGGAATCAATTCTAAAGAATTAAAATCATGAACTGTATTGCTATTTCTAGAATCTATTGTAAAATTTTATTTTTATGAAACTCTGCCAAATATATCCTTATGAGTTTGTCTTCCTATTTGTGTAACTATTGCTTTTTCATGTAAAAGAAACTTCCCAAAATTAAAATTAACAAGTATTCTTTAATAAACTATGAGTGAAGCTTGATTGACAAATCTGGCAGTGATGTCTATTGAACATCAGTATACAAAGAAGGTTAATTTTGATGAGGTCATTGATAAAATTGCAGATAAGCTGATAAATTGACTCATGGAGTTATTATCTAATCTACTATATCCAGTATGTCCCTTCAGAAATACATTAATATTAAAAGTATTATATTACTTTTATTTTTGTACTATAATATTTATTTTAATTTTTAACATTTTATTGCAATCAATGTATAATATATAGGCTGTTATTATCAATTGTTATCAACTGTTTAATTTCATGGCTTTAGCTGAAAATAATTTTGTCATATAGAGAAGGGGAGTATTAAGAAATGATGTGTTTTCACTGTCATAAGCACAGGGTAGGTCCCCAGCACCTATTGTAAAAGGTCAACCTTTCTTCATAATCCAAGGTCCCTTGGCAGAGTTTCTTCACATCGGGTATCCATTTCCTGCTGATAAGGTAGTTTAGCAGAAGGAGTATAGACATTGGGATCTATCAGCGGACTTCTTTTCCAGTCATAACTTTGGTAACTTTAAGTTGCAATGTTAAGCCTTATTTTTTTTCTCAAGTGAATTGGAGATGATGCAGCTTAGAACGATGTTTGTCAAACTGGGATGTGCATATGCCTGAATGTTCCCACACACAGAGAATTTTAAGGGAATAAATTTCCAGATCTTCTTTTCACAATGGTTCTTCTCCCATATATGAGAGACTTTAACCTGTCATCCATCACAAAACAGCATAGAACACCTACTGGAGTGTAACAACCACATGTGGAGGGTTAGAAATCTTGATTCTCATTTGATTTTTAGAATAGGGTTTTTAGGTAAATACATGTATGGGACAAAAGCCCTCAGGTAGGAGGCCATAGCCTACAGCCAGAGGGCAACAGCCCATCTAATCAACTCTAATCACTGCTAAGGTATGGGATTGTGTACTTTAACGATTTTAGAGATAACAGATGGTTGTCATACGGATCCTGTTGAGAGATTTTAAGAATTGCTGAAGGGAGAGATGTGAAAAAAATGTTTGCTAGGGGCAAGCTGTCTGTTGGTGGAAACTTTAGAGATCATTATACTTAAATTTTATCATAAGAATGCACCTTTTGCTTAAGGAGAAGTTATACTTTAGATAATGAGCACAGTTTGACCAACTTAGCTTTTCACTAATTGTACTTTGGAATGTCACATTGTTAATTTTACTGATGTTACTAATTTCCATTGTTTAAGCTATACTTAGCCATAGATAACTTTTGTAACACTGTCCATGTCTTTGTGTTTTTGTAATAATTGAATCAACTGAATTTTCCTGTGAAACTTCCTTGTCTTTACAGTAAACAACAGAAGCTAACTTTGAATCAGGGCTGTACCTAGTTTTCTCCTTCTAACAGGGGAGTTGCTGAGGTACAGTCCCTTTGGGCTTCTCATCTCATTCATGATGCTTTGGGTAATCCTTTTTTCATCTCCATTACACAGTGAGAAGTGTGACAAATGGTGCCCTGTGTGAGGCATTCTGATTCCATGGATCAGAGACTGCCCTGCCAAACCTTGGAAAAGAAAAGGACGTTTACTTATCCTGGTAAGGGAATCACAGGCAGCTTTCAATTAGCATTGCATGCCTGCAGCAGTGTCTAGCTAGACTTTCACCCAAAAGTTTCTTTTCTCTTACTTTCATTCTTTAAATATGAAAAATTCTTTAACTAAAGAGGAGATTCAACATAAATTACAACTCCAATGTCCCCTAAATCAGCTGGCTGTAAGGTAAATGAATGACAGTTTGTTGAATTATTGGTTGTTAGACAACAATGCCTTTGGCACCCAAAAGAAGAAAGTTTTGATATTAAGGATTGGGAACGAATTGGTCACTGCTTAAAAAAAAATGCAATAGATCCTGTCAAGGCTTCTCACCTAATGATTTGGAATCTATGTTGAGTTGCTTTGAGACCTATTCAAGACATTAACAAAAAACAAAGACATGTTTATGTCACCAAAAAGGATAAAGCATAATCCTCACCACCACCTCCTCCTCCATCTGCCCCCATCTTTCTGTCTTTATGCAGGCCATAAAGAAAGTCTCTGACCTACATTGTCTTGATTGTAGGTCATAAAACCACCATTCTTGAAAGGATCCTGACCAATACCCTGGAGAAATGATTTTCCCCACTCAGTCTATTAACAAGTCTTTACCTTTCTTTTGTTTTCACATGCCAACTAGCTCTATGTCCAGAGACAGTTTCTTTGCAACCCTGGTTTTGTTTGAGCATATTTTCTTTTTCTTAACTCCATGTTCTTCTCTTCTTCACCAAAGACTCTGAGGCCTCATGAGAAACGTGGACATGGTGCACCAACTGGACCTCTTTTGGAGTCTGCTGCCTTTCTCTTGAGAACTCAAAATTCAAATGGCTTTATCTCTATTTATTCATTGGCTCAGCCCTTAAGCTCAGTAATGCATCTGAGAAACAAAAGCTAGACTAAAATCTACCTGTTTTTGTTACCTTACTTTCTCTGAAACAGGGTGAGACCTCACAGATAAGCTTTGACATTTTTTAGAAACACAATTTAAATGTGACTATTCCTTTATACTAGTGAGTTTTCTATTTTATCTGTCTCCTTATTATAAACAAAACTTATAAAATCCTTATTTCTGTTTATGTCAACATATATATGTACAGAAATGCCCCAACCCATGGGGATATCAACTGGGACCCTGGAGAGGGGAGTGGGAATTGGTGGGAACAAGAGATGAGAGACATGGAGACAAGACAGTATTCTGATCAAGTCTCCTTTATTAGCCAGAAGGTCACAGCTTATATAGCCAGCAGGAGGGAATCAGCGGATAAGGAAGTATGCAGATGTTTTCTGGGAAAAACCACAGGACAAATCGTTCTGGGAAACAGAACATTTCTCAGCTATGTAAAGCAGTGCAGCGGTGATCTACACCTAGGGCTGTGCAAGCAGTAAGAAGGAGAAAAGGGAGGAAAGGTCACAGCATTTATATCTTTAGTGCCAGAGGGCTATTGGCAGGGCTTCATGACCCTAGGCAGGCTATGACTGGGCTCTTTGGCCCCGGAGAGGTCCCCCTTTTTTATTTTTTCAAGCCAAGAGAACCTCTTGTGAACTGTGCCTGTCTTAGGTTGGGGTAACCCATCCCGAGCACGGTACCTGTCATAGAAATGGGTTGCCATTAATGGCAGCCTTTTGTTTAGGGCGGTGTGGGGGACTTACCCTCTTTTCCATCTTTGGCTATCCAGTTCAGCTCACAGAGGCAGCATTTGTTAAGGTGAATGTGGTGGTATATAGGCACCACATTGTTCTAGCATCTCAAGGCATTGATAATGGACCTGTATAGGCCTTGCCTGAATAGCCTCAATTTGTTGTTTAACAAAGGCTGTGACTTTATTAAGTAAAAAGGGCCCCAAAGAAAGCAAAAGAAGCAAGCCCACAAGCAGCCCTAAAAAGGGTAAGAGATAAGGCAGGAATCCATTAAGTTCAGTCCAAAGGGGGTTTTCTGCCAGTTGTTTTCTTCTCTTTTCTAAGTCGTCTTGTAGTTGTTTGATACGGTCTTGAACTATCCCGGATTTGTTGGCATAGAAGCAACATCTTTCCTGTAGGGCTAAACAAACACCTCCTTGTTCTGCAGTTAGTAAATCGAGACCCCTTCTGTTTTGTAAGACTACTTCTGCCAGGGAATCTAATTGGTCTTGGAAGTCCTGTATAGTTTGGGAAAGGGCTTGTACATCCGAAATCAGCTGGGTAGACAATTTTGTATATTGAGATAGAGAATGGGTGAGACCGGCAGTTCCAGTAGCAACTGCTACAGAAATTCCCAAACCAGCAAGTAAAGGAATAAGCTGTACAGCCCTTTTAGATCTTCCAGCTATATGCTCAAAAGTAGTGACAGGGACGGGCTCACTCCCAGATATAACATCTATATCGGGCAGAAGGAGAGCCAAAACACAAAACCCTGTCCAGTTAGTGGGCAAATGGGCATAAGCCTTATTGCTACCACAGACAAAAACCGAACTGTTATGGGAACACAAGGAAGTAGAAATGTTGATAAGTGACTGACAATTTGCAAATGTAGCAAACCCAATGTTGATCTCAAAACTATTATTAACTGAAGGGGAAATGAAACAAGTAGCATTATAAAACTGTAAAGGTTGTACCTGCAAAGGGAAAGTTAATGAACACTGATGACCAACAGAATAATTAAGAAACAAAGCGGGAAAAGCAACAGGGACAGGCTGTCCTATTATCAGACAGAGCCAACAATTTTGAGCAAGATCAGGATTGGTGGCATTAAGCAACTTATGAGTTGCATAAAGAAGGTTGGAGGTCTGATGATCAAGCTCTAAATCACCCCTGTTCTTTGGCAGGGCCAGGGGGTGATAGGTAAGTTGAGGAAACAAAATGTCATGCATTTCTTGAATTTTTGTTTCCACCTTTAGAATTCTAGTTTGGTCTTGAGGGCCTCCTCCATCAGATATGTGAACGGAGGGAGTAGTGGACCAACAAACAGGTTGACCTACTGAACCTGTACAAGGGGCTTGGGCGTAATTATTCGAGGCAAGCCCAACAGCAGAAGGAGGACCTGCAAGATCCCCTCCAAAAGTCCCTGCATAATTTTTAATCAGGGTGGCTGTGAAGTATGTTTGGTTTCCAGAAGTGCACAATTGGTATGAAGAATAACAAGTGCTATGCATAGATTCAGCAAACGTGCTGCAAGGACATGGCTTAAGGCTCCCACCACTGCTGGCTATGAACTTAGGATTTTCAACACAACTATAAGTGGGAGATGATGAGGACAAATAAGCTGAATGCGTGTCACAATCTACAACAGGTATGTATGATGTAGGAGGACTACAAACAGTCCCCCCCTTGCAATCACATGGTTTTCTGTACTGTTTGTTCACCAATTGGCGAGTGAGTCCAGGATCTCCAAAGCTGGACTGGACCTTGGGCAGCTGAGCAGACAAACCAACAATCAGGAAGAAAGTGCTGGTTGCCATGACCCCTGTGCAAAAGAAAAGAAAAAGACATTCTCAGGGATCTACCAAATCCCTGGCTGAGAGGTTATGATCCACTTGTTTAACCAGCCATTCTGGCAGCCATTTGGCCGAGTTAGGAGTGCAAGAAAAAACACAGACTGAACCTCTACCCAAGATCACGGGTCATTCCAGGAGTTATCTAGGGAGTCCTTCCATTTGACCATGGCAAATTGTGATTGGGGCTCAGAATGCC